GATGGGCTATAGAGCATATGTTTGAAGTTAAAATTTGGGAGCTTTTATATTAAACTCTTATATGAAGTCCAAAAATACTAAACTGGAGTGAGTCCTTCCAATTCTTTAAGGTCCCAGAAGGCTTTTTCCCCCCAACACAAAACTAAAAATAAAATCCCATGTACCTAAGCTCTTCAGATAGCTGCTATTATTACTCTCTCCTTACCCTTTACATTTTATTGGAAAGTTAACTGTTAAGGGTGTGCTTAGTGATAAAGCAAAGCTGTGAGGAAGGCAAGCAGTGACCTCACACTGCTCCAGATCATTGCAACCTTTCTTCTCTTGCTATAGTGTAGAGAGTGCGGGCTGTAAATGTAGCAGCTGAGGAAACATGGCAAATGCATCTTGACATGAGGCTGTAGTCCCTCCCCAGAAACTACAGGTTGAGTAATATTCTATATACTCAAGGGAATTCAGTTTTCACATACCCTCTGTTTCAAAAGTTGTGATTCCTTAGGCTGGTAAAATCTTTCCTGAGATGTATTGTCTTCTATAAAACTATGGTCTTAAAATTCTCTGTTGTTTTGTTTTTGGTTTTTAATTGTGACTTATATCTCTATTTGGCTGTGTGAAAGAGGACTGAGACATGACAATGAAAAATAATGGTGGCCTGGGCTCTCACTAACTGTAGTAGGAGGGACATATGCAGCCAAATTAAAATAATAATAATAATAATAATAATAATAATAATGGCAAGAAAAGGCTCCTACATAGAAAAGAAAGATGTAAGGGAAAAAGGGCATCTAGAAGAAAAAAATTAAAAAGGATTCATTAGCAATTAGTAATAATTATATTTGTTTCACAAACATTTCAAATCTCTGACTAAAATATTTTTTTTTGATTACTGAATATGACTTTTTGAAAAAATGATGAGGGTTTGTAATTGAATAAACTATGTTACATTGTCAGAGTTAAATATCAAACGCTAGTTTGACCCATATGTATCACAAACAATGTCAAAGGAATCATTAAATAATATTTTTTCTAATTATTAAAAATTCAGTTGTCTATGCAGGCATTGCTTTTATAAATTTTTAATCTTAGTGTTATTTCTCCTGCCAACAAGTTTGCCTACAAATAATCTTTCCTAGGGACCCCCAAACTTCTGTTTTTCTTATATTTTTTTTAATTTATACTTCAATTAACGTTGATATACAATATTATATTAGTTTCAGGTGCACAACAGTGATTAGACATTTATATACCTTCCAAGGTGATCACCCTGATAAGTCTAATAACTACTTTATGTTTCTGAATGTTTGATTCTCATTGAAGGCCGCAACTTACCCCGTCCACACCCTTCTCCTCCTGGGGCACTAGGAGGACACAGGTTTTCATTGAGCTTGATTATTTTTTTTAATATATTTTATTGATTTTTTACAGAGAGGAAGGGAGAGGGATAAAGAGTTAGAAACATCGATGAGAGAGAAACATCGATCAGCTGCCTCCTGTTCACTCCCCACTGGGGACGTGCCCGCAACCAAGGTACATGCCCTTGACTGGAATCGAACCCGGGACCCTTGAGTCCGCAGGCCAATGCTCTATCTACTGAGCCAAACTGGTCAGGGCTGAGTTTGATTATTTATGGTGGTAAAAGGATAAGAAATAATGACTGGCTGACACACTGACAGTCATCTGGAGTATGCTCAGAATGAAAACGAAATGTAAGCTCAGGTTCAACAAAACACAAGGAAAATACATCTGCTGGTCATAAGTAAAGAGAAAACAATTATGAAATGTTTTTCATCACCAAATAAAAGTGTTTTTGAGTTATCCATAATTCCAGCTCCTATTAGAGCAGAAAATTGAAAGCTTGGTATTTCACAAACTGTGCCTGATGAAATATTACTTCATTTTCTTTTGATGTACTCATTTTTTCCCTTGAAAAAAGTTAGGGGAATTTTCAACTGTGGCATCTACACTCCTTAATACAGCCCTTGGCTTTCTTAGTTACTGAACAAGCATTTTTCCAAAAACTGAATCATAGACTAACTATGAGGCAGAGAGGAAAATCAGTATTGACATTCATAGAAGAATGATGGCAATTTTCCTGTGATACAACAGATTGGGGAATTTGCGATAACCCATTGGGGTTGCAGCACACATGGGCGGGGAGAGCAATATCCCCTCTGTTACTTGTAATCACTTTACATTTATTGTTGCAAAGATAACAACAGAATGCTGATAAAAGATGTTGTCTTCACTTTTTCTTCTTAAATGTTATTCTAGTTACAAAGAGGGAACAATCAAATTACTGTGTTCCTTAAATTGGTGCAAGCACTATTGTGGATGGTAGATTCTATCCTGTTAGCGAAGGTTCATTTCCAAAACAGAAGGGAAAATTCTGCCCAATCATCTTTTGGAAAGCTCTCGCTCACAATGACTTCCTTAGTGGTTTTCTGCACAATAGAAAACTCCTTTGAATTAGCTAGACACAAAATATACAACACCAACTCTAAACTATTTTAGTCTACACAGCTACTCTGAATCTACTCAATAACTACCAAGGTCACTTTATATTAATGTCATAAATCATTACCAATTGTTTCAAAAAGTGTCATCAAATATCCCACATTTTTTTCTTTTTTTTTCTCACTTACAGGTTGATACTCATGGAAAGTTCAAGGTTGAAACTCTAAATTAGATTATTGGCCTCTTGCAAGGTGGCCAAGGAAGGAGGGAAATTCGGGCTGCCTTCCTAAGAGGTGTGTGCTTCTTGCGCTCACTCACCTGTAGATGGGGCTGTCTTCCTTGCTGGGAATGGAATTTAGGTCTGTGAGTTCCAGGAACCGGTCATGGAAATAGTGAAGGTGTAAAATGCACACGAGCAGAAAGGAGGTTGGGATGAATATGCGAGTGAATAGTTCAGCCATGCTGAACTGCTTTAAGCCGAGATCCTCAAGCCTGCGGGGGGTGGGGGTGGGGGGGGGAGAGAAACAAGACCCTTTCTTAGGCAATGAAGACACAGTCTTTTTACTGTAAATGACACCTTCGTCAGGTGTCCAGCAGTCCAATTTACCAGCTTTCACAGTGGACAATAACAACCTTGATACTGCCAAATTCAGTGGCTGCTTTTCTGTCTTTGTTTAATTTTGCCTCTATTCCTTCTTGAAACAACCCTGGTCTTCATGCCCCCACACTGTCCTGGTTTCCCTCTTCTGTCACCACCTCCTGCTTTTCCATTGAACCTCCAGATGCTGAAATACCCCAGGGCTCAGTATTGAGTCCTTCTGGAGCTTAGTTTCCCTAGAAAATATCATCTCATCCTGGGGATTTAAATACCATCTTTACATCAGTGACTCAGATGTGCATTTAAAACGCAGGCTTTTCCTGTGGACTCTCACTCTCATACCAAAATGTCTACTGGAAGTTGGTTGTTTCATGGATATTTCATTGTGTTTTGAAAACAGTATTCTTAATTTCCCCATTTTCCTCAGCCAAGCTGTTCTCTACCTCTCTCACCACTCGAGTCCCCTCTGGTAAAACAGTCTAACTTGTGCCAAATTCCAAAGTCAGGAAGTCTTCCTTGATTCTTTTTATTCTTAAATCTCATTCATCCACTTTGCCTTCCCTGCCTGCCTGAACATCTGAATCTGCACTTCTGCTGTCCATCTCTACCGCCACCGATTCTGGGTGAAGCCACCATCGTGTCTCACAGGTTCACTCTATTGCTCACTGAGCAGTCTTCTTGTTTTTCTACTCGTGCCCCCCGACACATCACTTTTTCTCAGGTAGGTGCTTTAAAGACTTTTTAAAATTGCACCAAGAATGAAATACCAACCAGTCCTACCAAGAAGTCATGTTCGTCCTGGGTGCCTGGCTGAACTCTCCCACCTCTTCTCTTCTCCTTCCACTCTCTACCCCCTTGCTCCTGGTGGAGAGCCTTCCTTCAGTTCCTCATATGAGCCAATTTCTGTCCAGCCTTTTGCATTTGCTGTTCTCTCTGCCTGGGATGCTCTTGAGCATCTCAGATCTCAACTCACACATTTTTTTCTAAAGACAGGCTCCTTCTTATATTTCAGGTGGGGCTTAAGTGACACCTCCTCAGTGCAGCCTGCCCTGACCACTTCATTTATGTTTGGAATCCCTCATTGTTCACTACCTCAGCCTGTTTTTGTTTCCTTCACAGACTTGTCACAATTTATAATTAATTTATACATTAAGTCTCTCTTTGGTTTGTCTCCTCTACTAGAATATAAACTGCAAAGGGCTTAGATTCTGTCTGTCTTGCTTCCTGTTGTATTCCCAGGCACAGAACAGTGTCTGGCACATAGAGGGCATTCAATAAATATTTGTTGAATACATATTAAATATGTGTTAGTCTAGCTGCTTGGTGATCCTTTTCATCTCTTTTCTTGGCCACCAAAAGTATATTTACTCTATGCCCAATTCTGGTTGGATTTCTAAACTAATTTCATTATTTAAAGAAGCAAACTAGAAAAGGATAGAGTACCATCTATTACACGCACAAGGAAAATCATTTCATAACCACTAGCCTATAAGCACTTAAATAATTTTTCCCTGTGGCACCGACTGCTCTCTATAATCATGGCGCAAGCTACACAAGTGAGGAGCGGCTGCTGCTTTATACGGTGAGTCCATGAACTACTGATGAACTGAAGAGCTGAGCTTCCATTTGGACACCAGAAAACATGACTGGTTAAGTACTACACAGGTGTGTTTCACATAAAACTGATTTTAGAAAATGTAATTTCATTAAAATAGAGCTGAAAATTCGCTTTCGGTCAATTCACTTTTCAGTCAATTCACTTTTCAGTCAATATTCACAGAGTCCTTTTTATGGGCCAAGATCAGGATTAAATGGAGAGAACACAAATGAATAAGACACAAATCCTGTTCTGAAGAAACTTATAGACATGAACTACACCAGGTTTTACTAAAATCTTCCATAAAAGTGTTTTGAACAATATGCTTTCAAGTCTTAATCCTGCCGGTCACTTTTACATTCCTTCATACACCGAAATTGCTTACTTTTCTTTTTTCAATCCAGTCATATTTTGCCACAGGCCCGGGAAGTTTTCAAACTGATATGTGTATATAAAGATAAGCACCAGCATAGTGTAAATAACCACAGACATCCAAAAATATTTTAGAATTCTCCTCCACCATTCATAGTGCACCTGTGAATCAGTCATTGAGAAACAAACAGAACACTGGTTATAGAAAAACTCACAAAAAAAATGTCCCGTTTATTCAACTAAGACAGGTGATGCTATTCACAAATACTTGAAAATAAAGTCTAAGTTCTGTTCCTCATGGAGTTGAATGGATCTGGATTGGAATCTCGGTAGCACCCCAAGTTAACTATGTCTTCAGGCAAGTGGCTGGGCCATACTGAGCTTCTGAGTCCTCCTCCGTAAGTAACCACTCTGAGAGTTGTTAAGAGGATAAAATAATGTTTGTAAGGCTCTTAGCACAAGCTATGGTCTATAGGACACTCAAGGAACAGTATAGTAGATGCTGCCATCATTTTGTTTATAGCTCGGAGAAAACTGCCTCAGTTTTGAAATCAAAGTGGTAGTTTATAAATAAAAATGTGAAACCACCATGGAGAGAAGACATTGTTCTGTACTACAAGCCCATGGATGTTCATTAGAGAGCACCTCCCTGAATGTTTAAGAGTATTTCAAAACTTGATTTATTTCAGTTGATATATTTTTATCTCCACATGTAATATACTCTTGTTTATTACAGTTGCTTCATGTGTTTTATTGGCTGCAAGCAAGAACATTTTACTGCTGCACTTGTTTCTATCATTGAATTCAAACTTTTATCATAAGTTAAAACTGAATTTGTAGAGAGACTAATTAAGTATAATACAATATTCTATAACTTCTAATTAATAAGATGCTTAAGCAGCTGACACATTACAATAGAGGTGTATATACACACACCCAGTTTTCTGATTCCAGACTCTAGAACACAAGTGAACTGAGTATCATTCAGTATTTTAGATTATTCAGTCATTGTTGTTAAATTGCTATTAAAATTAACCTAATTGTATAGGCTCCTTTTTTTAAACATTTTTGAAATGCTCATGAACTATTTTTAATTGCTTTTTAAGAACCTAACATTTTAAAATTATGAACAAACTAAAGTCACTTCCCATTTTAGAGTTCTTAATATGTAATGTTTGAATTGAATATCACTTAAATGATATTTGTTCACGGGATTATTATAGTAACTTAGAATGCCATCATAGGAAGCGCACATATATTCCTGGGATGGGTGTGAGAATTAAAAACTAGAGGACAATTGATGACCCACCTGATACAAGGCCACACAGAACAGAAACAGCACCATGTAGATGATTTTGTACATCACAATTTTACCCTCGAAGCTGACAAAGAAGAACATTCCTCCACAGACGTAGATCCAGTACTTAATGAACATGGCCTCCACCAAATTGCCAAGGACTTTCATGATGTCCTGGTCATCATCTTCTTCCACCTCCTCCTCCTCTTCTTTCTTACTCTCTTGCTTCTCTTCCATTTCTTCCTCTTCTTCCCCCTTCTCTTCAGCCTCTCCTTCCACTTGTGTATCTTGTTCGTCATCTTCAAAATAAAAGACTGTGCTGTTACACCGAGCTGGTTCCCTGACCAAAACCACACTTTGAACAGGTGTCAGATGTGGGACATGGAAGCATGTGTTTTATGTGTTACTATGTGATTTGGTTTTAGACTGTTCTAGTAAACCAAGAAGCATTTATAACTAATCATAGTCAAATTTTATAATCTTTCTATGATATATTTTAAAAGAAATAAATTTGGTAATATTTTATACTAATCTTTTAGAATACCTATTTCATTTGCAATATCAATGATAGCTTTAATACAACAGGTTCTAGAAAAATAAATAGGCAACAATAACACAAATTAAAACTACTATTTCAATTTTGAATTCTGATTGTTTGGTGGCTCTTACAATATTACCTTAGATAAATCATTTAACTTCTTTTAGCCCCTTCTTCCTTCTTCCCTTAAGTGGGAATTACTTTTGTGAGGGTCAAATGATACAATATTTTCAAAAACTCCTGCAAATCTCATGTGTAATTTAAATCTCACGTCGTTCAATACTGCTATTTATCACTCCAAGTGAATGTTCACCTTCCACCTAGTCTGAAGCATAGGGGCTCTTTCTCTGTAATTCTGCCGAGCACAAAAATCTCCAGTCACACACTGTACACACTAATTTACCTTTTTCTTCAATTTCCTGAGTTTCAATTTTGACCTCAGATAAAAGAGCTTCCTTTTCTCGAAGAGCTTTTTGCTCGGTGAGGTGTTGCCTCAGCAGTAGCCAAAAAGTAATGGTGAAAAGTATCTGAAAATAGGGAATGAGCAAAACAAGAATTAAGCCACCATTCTGGGTGTAAATACATTTCAACAAATGCAACATGTTCTCCACATTTCAGTGGGCACTTGCTCAATTAACCTTCCTATTTGAGACAGTGTCAAGCACCTGCTTGATTTCTGTTGGGAAGGTGAGTTAAAAGCCAGGTTTTGAAGGTGGTAGTTGATGTAGTTTGGTGGAACCAGAAATGAGACACTGTAGGAGCTGATGAATGTGGCAAAATAGCTGTGTCTGCCTCCATCGGAGGTGTTCAGACCTTTGAAGATCCAGGCCATATTCTTTCTTTCTCTTAATTTCTGTCCCAGTGACCCACCTGGTATCTGTTAACAGTGTGTGTTTAATAATGTGCTTTGACTAATGTCACCATGATAGATATTTTATGATCTTGGAGTTGTATTATTACCTATAAGAAAGTCTTGCTGCCTTTTTTTAAACTCCCAGGTACATTAAAATATAAGTACAGACCTTAGTTTCCCCAGAATAACATTTTTATTATAAGTAAAAAAAATTTATTGCCCCCCAAATGTCCCTCTCCCCCAAAGAACTGTTAATTCTAAATTAGACAGGAGGTAATTCAACTAGTTAGATGACATGCAATTTTAGAAGTCTCATCAATATTAAAGTTTGGGAGTGAAGGTGAGAGTAGGGTAGGTATGGATGCTTTATATGAATGAATTAATAAACAAATAAATGAATGAATAAAGTTGTCACGATCTATGAACACAGAGGATTATGATCCAATTCACCTATTAGGATTAGCATTCACCTGTTAGGTTTTTTTTCCTTTACCTCCAATAGCCTTCACCAAAAAATCTGTTATAAGAACCAGTCCTCTGTATGGTCTACTCAACACCCCCATTTATGTCTGATTGCTTCTATGATATGCCTTGTAACATATAAAAAAGGTGAATTTCATGTGATGTAAATGAATGTCTCTCTCAGAGAGCAATTCTCTGCCTAAAGAAGGGTTTCAAGGCTCATTCATAATTACACATGATTGCTTTTACTGTCTTAACACAAAGTCACCAACACAAAGGGGATGTATGTTTAGAATATGCTACTCTGTTCACCAAACAAAAGAGTTGTGGCCCCTAATCTTCAAATAGGCCATAAAAATAAATGGATAGTAAAAGATTGTGAACGTTCTAACTATAGATGAAGGAATATTATATGTAATCAGTAAAGAAAGAAAAGCATGTCATATTTAATTTTTGCTACTAAAAAATCTTTTTAACGACATAATTAGAGAAAAATATTTTAACTAATAATCAATGATTATCTGTAACAGCAATGAGTTCAGCCTGTTTTGTAAATCAATTGTCAAAGTCCTCTAATCCTTCTATATGTTTTACATTTTATTTTACTGTTTCCCCATCTCATTTCTACTATAGAAGCAATTGTCAATCTTTTTAATCTTATAGCACACATAAAGTAATTACTAAAGTTCTGAGGCACACCAAAAATATATATTTTTGCCAATCTAACAAAAAATAGGGATATTTTTGATTCATTCATACCAGATGGCTTATTGTGTTGGTTGTTGTTTTTTTTTATTATTATTATTCGACAATCTAAAAGAAAAGAGGTCAGTGCCCCTGCAATAGTCAGGTATTGCCTGTTTTTAAAAAATTTGCAGTACACAAGTGTCCCAGTTGCAGCACACCCATTGAAAATCACTGTACTAAAGTATAATTCATACTAAAAATAACGTAGACTATATTTGTTCTTTGAGTGGAAAGCATCGTCTCTTTTAAATAAGATCTAAAAGCATGGTGTAATATTTTTTTTGTTCATGTTTGAATTATTATAGTTTCATATCTATTCATTTTTGTAAAGCAGTGCATATTTGGAACCGATTTTTGTAAGTTTTTTTTTAAAAATATATTTTATTGATTTTTTACAGAGAGGAAGGGAGAGAGATAGAGAGTTAGAAACATCGATGAGAGCGAAACATCAATCAGCTGCCTCCTGCACATCTCCTACTGGGGATGTGCCCGCATCCCAGGTACATGCCCTTGACCAGAATCGAACCTGGGCCCTTTTAGTCCACAGGCCGATGCTCTATCCACTAAGCCAAACCGGTTTCATCCGATTTTTGTAAGTTTTTGCTTAGATATGATTATTATGGCTTATTGTGGTTATAATGTTTTATGTTCTTGGTTTCTTAGACACTTACCTTTGAGGCAAGTTCTCCTGGCTCTTTCTTTTCTAAAAATCCTGGGACCTTTTTAATTTCCGGAAGTTCAAAACTCCATATGTACTGTAATACCAGCAATAGATTTGCATAGACAACCATAAAAGGAGAACTGATCATGGCGTATTTTCTTCTGTTGCGGATCATCCAGAGAGTGCATGACCAAATCAGCAGCACGAAGGTCAGCCAGCTGTGGTAGGTGATGCTCCAAGCCTTGAGGGAGGAAGGGGGAGGAAAGCAGTGGTCAGTACAGCACAGAGCCATCTACTCTGGTAAGTTAAAAGTCATCTATAAAGAGAGAGTCAGTGACATTCAAATGGGGAGAGGAGAGAGTTGTGCTGAAAGCATGGAGAGAGATCCCAACCTGTGGCACAGAGAGGGAAGAGAAGAGAAAGACTGATTACCCTGAGAACATTGCTTTTGAAATGCTTATAGGGAATAGATTTAAAGGCAAGGGGGTCTTCATTCCAGGTTCTTTCCCTCTAGCCCCAAAGGTCTTCATCTTCACCCTGCTTTGCAGTATTAAAAGCAACTGTAAGTGCTTTCCCCCCTCTTTTACCAAACTATCTTGGAGTTAGCAGTTATTTAAGGGTGCTGAGTGCGGCCCAGAGCTGGGCTCAGAAATGGAAGCTGTGGGAATCACCAGGGTAAGCACACTTGTTACGCTTCACAGATCACTCCCGGATGAACCAAGAAAATGCAATGATAGAAATTAGAAAATGCACATGAGGAAGTTGTATGTTGGGTTTCTGCACACCCTAGACAAAAAGCCACACTAATTTAAAGACCAACCTCCGCTTCTGTCCTGTAAGGAGTAGGACTAAAGAGCCCTCACACCATTTGTGCAAATGATACATCTTCTTCCATTCACACTAAACTATCAAAGAATCAGAAATGTATCTCAAAGGACAGCTACCAGAACAATGAGTAAATCAGTCTCACAGATATTATTAACTTCAGGAATTCTATCATGTTTTATCATAATCTCTGTCTGATACAAAAAAATTTATAGATATGTTTGGTGCTAATTGAAATCAATCATATTCCTGAATGTCACTAATTATCAAGAGTTAGTTATAAAGTCTAAAGTGTTTTACAAGTCTGTTTTGCTTCTGGAAAGTAGGTAAGTATTAAGATAAATGAAGTCAGCATGGACCCAACAAATATTTCCTCTCAGCAATTTGCAAATTTGTCCTAAAGCACAGCTAGCTTTTTAAGTGGCAACTTATCTTAAATTGTTGGTTAAAACATATAGGTATAAACTGAAAATTAAAATTCCTCTTATCAAAATTAAGTTAGTGACTGACAGCTATGATAAGTCTGAAGTATTTTCATAAATATTTATTTCTTGGAAGTAGTGTTTTATCAAAATTCAGGTAACATTTAATGTATCTGCATTAAATGCTGTATTTAATGCATTTATCCCAGTATGAGATGCAAATGTGACTACCATTTTTGTGTGTGTGACCCAGGAAAGTAAACTTCACAGGTATCATAATCCCAGCAGATTTCCCCCCTGCACACTGTTCTTGTTTGGAAGGTGAGAGTGAGCAAGGGAGAAAAACAAGCGATACGGATTTTTTAAAACTTCTTTCCTCTTAAAGCCGAAGTATCCTATGTCTCTCAGTTGTGATGTTGGGAAGCAGACTCTGCAGTATGTTGCTTCCTACGTTCAGTGTCCGGGTTTCCTGAGAGGTTAGTATATCCACACTTAGTATTCTTGAATAAATACATATATTGTTCTAACAGTCAGTTCCTTGGGACTTCTCTTTCTGTCTGTGATTAAAAGCCTGCGCAGCCGGGAGCTTCCATGGAAGGCAGGCATTTTTAAACCATTAATACTGTGGCTCCACTAACACCACAGAAATGGCAACAGATAAGGGCACGTCCCTAATGAAGGATCTGCTCTCTTATGTTGTTTTTAGAATAGATTTTTCCCCCCCACAAAATGTGTATTCAAAAAAATGTTAAAGCCCTATTTCTTTACAAACAGTGACCAAAGTTAGCTGGCTTATTTTTAGAAAGAGTGGGGGGAAGTGTATGCTCTTTTGAGTTAAGAATTAGATTTGTAAGCTGTATTTATATGTTTGATATTTTAAAATCAATATTTTGCTGTAGCGATTGATCTGTAGAAAATATCAAAAAGAACCCAAAGAGGACAGAATTCATATTATTTAGAGAACAGAATTTGCAAGCTCCAAAAGAGCCACCTTTAGTTTTGTGGAGCTTTCTCTTTTCCATCCCTCTCTCAGCTATCCCAGTGGAAAAACATTGACAGAGGAAACAGTGTCTAGGTATTTCCCCCCCCTAGCTTTATAGAATATTTTCATTTTTATCATCAAAGATATTCATGAGATCTCTCACCATTAACCACATACTTTGGAAGAGTTTTGTGTTAAATAAGTGTTAGGTCTCTCAAAAATAAATTCGATTTCCCATGAGGGTTTGTTTTTAGGAAGTATGGAAATGAGGCTTTCTGTTGTCATCTATGTAGAGGCCAGAAGACTGCTTCTGATGCTGTGGAATGAGAGATGAAGGAGGCACCTGGAGGTGAGTAGAAACATGCCTATACTGAGCGCTCAGAATGGCAAAAGCCCTTGGGAACTCTGGTTGCTTGAGATTCATATTGGTAAAAGTGTATTGCAGCTGAAATACAAAAGAGTCCCACTCAAATCTAAGACAAGATGTGAAGGCAATTCTTACTATCGGAAAGAAATAAAAGCAATCTATGGTAATCTTGAACACCTTCAATATCACTCGGAAAAACTACACAAAATGTCCTTTTAAATTAGCAAAATAGGGACTGTCTGACTTGCTAGGCTAATTTGGGAGAAATGTATTAATATTTAAAAGGAGGCTGAGCGGAAGAGGATATGATTTTGAAATCCATAATATAAAAATGCCATGAAAAATTAATATAACCAAACATTCTCCGCCAAAACAGTGGGGAGAGTAAGACCTTCCTGCTGTTCCTCAGAGGACAGCGAGGCTGCCAGCCAGCGGGCCCCGCGCACATTTCCCAGCCCCCGTGCTGTGGCCTCGCGTACATACCATCATGGCAATGAGGGCACAGATGTAACTTTGTTTCATAATAAACTGGAACACAGAGACCATGGCGTGAACTTTCACGCTTGTTTTTTCTTCATGGCTCCTTTCCTCTTCAAATTCTTCTTTCTCATCCTCTTCTTCCTCTTTCTTTTCTAGAGAGACAAATACTTTATGTAACTAGTTATGCAAATACAGTCTAAGAATTTTGTATACATGTCCCAAGCAATGCTGCTCATGTATGTTTTTAGCATGGTTTGTCATTGAAGGCTTCAGAGATTATTTCCAATTCACAAAGTCCTTAGAATTCAAACAGAATCATTAAGTTTTGCTTGGTGAGTGTAATGGGAACCCGCACTCAGAAATTACAGGAAGAAAATTTTGATTTAAGAGAGTGTGGAGGGAAGCTTCTAAGACGCTCGCCGATGACCCCCTACCTCCTAGTGTTCCTGTCTTGTGTAACCCTCTTTCTTGGCTGTGGGTGGGACCTCTGATGGGCTTCTAAAGAACAGAATAGTGAGAGAAATCAGCTGCCATGTTGTACGCTGCCAATGGAGGACCCCAGGTGGCAAGGGCTTGATGCCTCTGGTCAGCAGTCAGCAAAGGCATAAGGCCAGCCAGTGGCCAGGTGAGTGGTCATGGAAACAGACTGTCCCCAGGCGAGCCCTCAGATGGGACCGCGGGCTTGGCCAGCAGCTGGACTTCAGCATCATGAAGTCCCTGAGCCAGAGACTCTCCACCTAATCACAGACAATTCCTTACCCACAAAAACAGGGTGACATAAATGCTGTTTTAAACCACTAAGTGTGTTCCTCAGTGATGGATAACTAATACAAAGAGTATGTGGAGTATGGATACAGGAAAAGTGTAGAAAACCCACCAACCAACCACTTTGCCAGAGTGCATGTGATGGTCCATAGTTTCCTTTTGGGACATGTTGAGGCGGGTAAGTCATACTGAGCATGGAAAGATCAGGCCAAAGCAAGAGACACAGTGTAAAGGGCTGAGTTGAAGAGACCAGCAACAGGAAAGTACTGCCATGGGTGTGAAGGTTTCCTCTGCAAGATCCTCCTACAGATGTCAGGGAAGCTATTTTGATTCCACAGATGAAATAATGAGTGACACACTTAAGTAAAATGTCCTTTTCGTATTTCTTAAATTAAATTAAATAGGCTACATCCCATTTAGGGAGTTACTGAGCACCATGAAAAGGGAGCATAAATCACCAAAAAACCAGTGGCCACGAAGGCTTAGCAGTGAGCCTCTAAGGGCGGCTGGGATATTTCTTCCCGCAGAAGCCCACTGCCCCCCATCCCTCCAACGCCGAGGTAGGATGAGCCTGGGGTTTACTGGGGGAGTCCACGGAGTGGAGACAGTCACGAAAATCTAAATTTAATGAATTTTACAATTATTGGCATGCTCCTTCTCTAGTGATAACATTTTTTTGCAAATATAGATTCAAATAAAAAAAAAACTTGTTTTACTTTTGAAAGTTCAGTTTATGATTTAGTATGTGTGGGTTTGCCTTGTCAGCAGTCAGAATTCTGTTCATTTCTTTTCATGTTAAGTAATGTGTCAATAGAAGGATATTTGGCTCTGACTTCTACGTCTCAAACTTCCAATGCCATAAATGCTTGTTCTTAGGCCTTCTCTTTGTGATTCTAATGCCAAAGGTGTGAGGACCACACTTTGGAAAGCAGTGCATTTCCTGACACGTTCTCTAAGTGAAAACCTTCATGTAAGTCCGAGTTGCAAACTGAAACATATACACGTAGGAAGGAGAAATGGGCAATTAACCAGTAGAGTCGGGTGCTCTGTGGGGATTGCAGATGCCAGCTAGGGCGGGGTGTGTGTGGGGGCGTTCAGGGTCGGGTAGAGGACTGAACTTGATCTGACCTTACGGAGGAGGAATGTTGGATAATGTACTAACCATTTGTGCTGCTAAGTAGATGCACTGTCAGAGGCAACTGCAGGAAACACTGATAGTGTTCATAAAGAACTACGAATAACAGTGCATTAGAATAAGCCTGATAAAGAATTATGAAAGAAAAGGGCGTGAGAGTCAGCTCAATGTACTGATAACACAGATTGGATAGTGGCTGGCTATTTACTAAATTTAGGATAATATATAACAACTCTAGCTTTAATTCCATAAAAATAGAGAGAAAAATCCACTATATTGTTGTAGCCACTTTGTTGCTACCTGCATGTGATCTGCTTTTCCTCCCCTCAGCTAATTCTGTCTATGAATTGGTGTCTGGCATGGTTTCCAACAAGGCAACGGCAACAGTGGTCTAGTCGGCTGCTGCCTTACAGAAATAAGGGATCAGTTTGCCAGATATTTGTATTCTTCAAGGGATTCTGGAAATGTGCATTTCTAGATGAGAGCTGCAGCTTTTAAAATGTTGGTTACTATTCAATTTTTTTTTTATTTAAAGAAAATGCTGTGTGGGCCTAAAAACCAAGTCTGAGGACAAGACCTCCTCCACCCCAGGCTGCCTTCCCTTAGCACAATACACAGAAAATAAGGAGGGTGGGGGAGGGCCGTGTACAAGTTTTGACCCTCTCCTCTTCTTAATAGACAAAAAGAACTCTTTCTGAAAAGATTCATCCATTAACCTGCAGAACTATTGACCAGGATAACATTATCAAATGATGGAAAGACTAAAACATACATATACACAAGTTGACATCCTTAAAATCATTTTTTACCTTTTATTTTTCAACATTTGCCATGATTATGCCTCTTAGTTTGTAGATAAGGATAGAACACACATAATCATATGTTGGGGCAGAATAAAGGGAGAACTTAAGGAACTGAGCTTAATTATACCAACCTTGGAAGACAAGACTTGTTAGAAAAAGAAAGAAGAAAAAAGAACCAAATCCGATGAACAATAAACAAAAGACAGAGATGTCAGGCTGAATTTATGCCTGCAAGAAACTAAAACCCTGGGCAGACAGCAGTCTGCAGAGCTGGCTCCTCACCTGCAGAGTCATCCGAGGGCTCCCACCGGTACTGCGGCGTGGAGTACAGCTCGGTTTTGGCAGGGCCATTCTCGATGGGAAGACTCGGGTGGATGGTGTGGTAATCCACAGGGTTGCCATTCACGGTCACCAGCAGGCCCTGCGGGGGCGTGAGGGAAGAGGCACATCTGTGATGCAGCTGCTGTTTTCAGTGTGGACATACAGCCTCCTGCCCTTACGCTAAGGTATAACTCCACAGTGAAGGATGGATGGATAGCGAACAACTTAGTCAGCTCTCCACGTTAGCAAGATGAAATTGTGTCTATTCCCTCTCCAATTGCGACAGATCGCAATAAAATGTGACTCTGACCTTGTCCCGTCTCTGCTGAACACTATGCAATACACCTCCGTTCTCAGTCTAGAGTATGAACTCTGGAAAAGGCTGCCTGAGGCCTCATGACCTGGCCTATCTTGCTAGTCTCTGCTCTCATGGCATCCTCCTCCCAGCCAGCCTCCAGCACTAGGGACTCTAGACCTTTCCTCGCTGCCCTGGCCCTTCCTTGTCCTGCCCCACAGCCCATAGGCTCTGCACAGGGCTAATGCAACAGGTCTCAGCTCAGACGGCACTCCCTCTGGGGATCTCTGCCTGATGCTGCCAGCTTGTAATCCCCTTATTGTAATACGTCATATACTACGTGCAATTTCTTGTTTATTTTTTCCCCTCTGTTTCTTTGGCTTTACAATTTTAAAGGTATGCATATAAACATACACACGCACATATACATATGTGTATGTGTCCGTGGACATGTAAGAGTTCCTATTCAAATTATGTAGCAGGCAGAGCCACAGAGCAAAATGCTTTCTAAAACTTCCACCATGGTTTTTTAAAAGTTTAAATACATCCTGTATGACTATGCTGGAGTTCGCAAGTCAGTGTTTTAATAGCAATAAACCAGATCTAATTTCTACAAAGTAATTATTCAAAAAGTTATAGAGATTGTATAGATCATTAAAATATACTAAAGGAGCTAATTGCATTTATGTCACCTTTACATCACTTATGCACATATAAATAATAATTCTAAGGATATACTAACATCAGATGGTTTGTAGTCATCTTGAGTCATGGATAAAAGCTGCAAAAAGCAATGCAGGACAGCATGTTAATATATAAGCCGAAAGCATTGTAATGTTTATATATATCTACCAAGTTTCACCACACACATATCCATTCTCTTAAACTAGCTCGATGCTAGTATGTTAAAATTGCCATGCAAAATGTAAAGGGACGTATAATTGAATGGGATGTTGCTGTTTATTATAACAGTAGAGGCCCGATGCATGAAATTCGTGCAAGGGGCTTGGCCCCCACCACTGCCTCAGCCCCCTCTGCAGCAGCTTCGCCTGGAAGGTCATCTGGAAGGACTTCCGGAAGGATGTCTCATCTAATTAGCATATTACGCTTTTATTATTATAGATTGTCCAGCTTCTGATGCTGACTTTTAATTTTAACAGCAAGTAAGCAGGCATAAACAACATCACTATAAATGTTAATTATATTTTCCAGTGTTTTGTTTTAATAGATTAAACCGCTTGATTTTGAATTCCTAGAACCCTCTGAGACACTGCAAAATTCTGAATGTTCGCTTTTCAAGAAATAGATGTTTCATAATAAATAAAACATTATTTGTTGTGTGTTTTGAGATTATTTTAAGATTTGCATGCTGTCTATGACAAAAGAATTATTATAGGACTGTGTTCTTTAGCTACGTTAGTGCCGGATGGTTTGGGCTCCTCCTAAATAATAAACATTTGCTTTGCCAGTGCAAAGGGGTCCCCAGGTCTTTTAAGACGTGACTCATTTACATTCTTACAAATCACTGGGGGTGGGGGGGGGGAGGTCCCAAAGTGTTCTTTATGTGAGTACTATCTGTCAGCACCTATCATTGAGAAATGAAAACTGAGACATTGAAAGATATTACATATTCATTGGAAATTAAATAGCCATTATATCTTAACATAGATATTCAAAAAGCTGCATTTTAAAAACAGAGAAAAGAGTGGCATTGTTTTATGCTTTTGCATATCTTTTTAAAGTCTGACTGATTTGAAGGAAGGCAGCTGGATTCTCATATCTGTTTCTGTGTTCAATCTGTTGTGATATGTTGTGTTGGTTGAAGTATGGGAAGAAAATCTGGTTCACTGAGATTTGTAGTTGGCAAAGGAAGAAGCATTTCAATAGTCTATCCTGATAATGGTAGATAGTTTTATTTGCTACTGCATCCAACTCAGTAAATGGTAGGAACTTGAAGGTTAGCTGCAATGTGAAATCTGGAATCAAAATCAAACTTTACACAGTGTTTCATCAAAAACCATTGATACACTGGCACGCTTGGAGATATTGCGGGTTTGGTTCCAGACCACTGCAATAAAGTTAGTATTGACATAAAGCAAGTCATCATCTTTTTGCCAGTGGGGGGTTTGCCTTCAATTTGAAAAAAGACACAACATCTATGAAGCGCAATAAAGCAAAACACAATACAGCAAGGTATGCCTGTGCCTTGCACCTTGCATGGGTCTTTTACCCACATGTCGCAATAGCTTATGTTGGTGATTTGCTTCAGTGAGTCATACAGCCCTACCAAGTATTGACATATTTCAGCACACAATATTTAAAACAGCACATCTGTTAATATCAGCACTGATTCCATCAAAATAGTCCCCAAGTATTGGGGAGTTTTCAAGCCCTCAGAAGTAGATACAAATTTGTCCATCGTTGAATTTTCACTCAAAAGTTCAAGTTTTATCATTGGCGACAAATGCTGTGAGCTGATGCCTTGAAAAGATTGGCTCACTATATTTATTTTCCAGTAACTGTCTGCCAAACACCCACACCTGAGCAACCACAATCTGTCTATCAGCTATTCTTTTAAGTAAACCTGGTGTTCAATGAAAAATGGCTAGTTCAACCCACACTTCCAATGACCCGTCAAATGCTTTTCATTGACACAGTTGTCATACTTTAGTGTGTGCCAACTCCTTATTTTGTCACACATAATATTAAAAAGACATGTGCTCTAAGGCTGAGACTTAAGAAAATTAATAAAAAGTTCTGGTTCATCAAGGATACACTTAAGTGGAACTGGCCTTTTTGCTTTGTTTTTTTTTTTTTGCAAGTGTGTGGCCATGAAGGGTTGACCATGACTGTAGGGGTTCATGCCACTGCCTTGGTTTGTGCTTTTGTACCATCAGAAAAAAATTCATTAGCACAACAAAAGGTAAATATTTAACCAATTATTACAAAAATAGTTTTGAACTTATGGATTGTTGTAAGGGCCTTAGGAATCCCCACTTTGGAAACTGCTGGGCTATCCTCGTGGATATCATCACTTAGTGAAATGAGCATGATCATCTGGAACATGGTGTATTGAGAGAGGAAAGGACCCCTGGAAATCCTCAGATATCCGAGGTTGCCACATCTTCTCCACATGGCTGCCAGCTCCCTAAGACAGCGTTTTCATTGTTCCACCCTCTCTTAGCACAGGACGGCCATGGGTAGCATAAGACCGTGTGTCTTAGAGAAACTCACCTACAACCAAATAAATCAGAGCATCTGCTCCTCAATACTCTAACATGCTACAAAGCAAAATGGCTGACTCCATCCAAGAAAAATAAGATTCGGTGTCTTTGGAGCATTGCCAATGGGACATTTTAGCAAGTCAGTATAGCACGGATTGAGTTGAGTTCAAAATGGTTAATATGTGCTCAAAACGTTACATGAATTACCCAATTGTGACTCACTTTTCCTTGTCAATCCATACTGTTGCTTCACAGTAGTAAGAGACACTTAATTGTATTCATATAGATTGTTTTGATCTTCTCTAAGTGGTTTCTTGAGTTACTATTGTGGCTGGCTACCTAATAGAGTGAAAGTATTATCTGCAATGTATTTCAACACTGAGACTTTCACCACCCAGTGCTAACAGATTACTTCCTTAGGTTTTGATTGTTTGCATACAGCTTTACTTTTTTAAAATGAAGAACATTCTTTCTCTTTAGGATTAAGAGACTTCAGTGGAAAGCACAGAAATACAGAATGGTGTCTCAGAGAGTACAATGGAGCCATGGTATACCCTTTGGAAGCACTGGGCTCCCTCTTGAATAGAGCTCTCCGCTACTAAGACTTCAGAGTCAAACCATTTCAATAAACTGAGCAACTTGAGATTAATGCTATGTGACCAATATTCAGCAGCATAATATGAAAATAGCAAAATAAAGTAGGAAATGGAAATTCCTTTCCTAGTGTCTTACTTTTCTCTCGTCAGTTGGGTAATGGGTGGCATACCACAGGCTCCGCCTCCTCTTAGCTGTCATTTGGATGGGACTACAGTCCAGGGCTCTCTCCTCCTTGGTCCTCTCATCCTGCACCTGAGACACAGAATAATAACTCACAGGACCAGCCCTGCTTCCCGGAGCAGTTCCCTCAACCCCTGGGGTGGCCAGGGAAACTTTCCAGCTTCGCTTAGATATAATTATTTTTTAAATTAACGTATACAATATAAGAGGTTTTATCAAGACACTTTCAAAGATAACAAAAATGCTGTCATTTAAATGCTAAGCTCATCATTATTAAATGTTCCTGATTACTATTAAGCCCCATAAATTATAGGAATATTTTCTAAGGTTAAATAGCCACAGCCTCTCCATGTGTGTTCTAAACACTAGAAGACAACTATACAAATGGTTCTTAGAGGAAGAGCTTTTTTTTAAAAAAAGTGGACAGTTAACTATGTAACCCAGTCATGGATAATCTTTAATTAAGAAGAAACTTATTAAAGGCAAAATCACCTAGAGTTTACATACAATATTAAGCAAGACTATATCTTATTCACAAAACTGTGGCCTTGCCTAATAAGACATTGGCCTGAATTAGACAATTGGTCTGGGAGAGATGATAAAGAGAGGGTATAAGGAACAGAATGCATTGGGTGATTTAGTTTGCTGTCTCAACAAAGATGGCCCAATACAAAGAAGTTAACCACTGATTTTGGAGCAGAGGGAGGGGACACAGTCCTACTGCCCAGTTCCCCAGTTCCCATGCCAGCATGCAGCACCCATGGAAACACACTGGGTGGAAATTCACACTTGCCAGGTGGGAGTCCATATATTACATTTAAGTTTTGACACCTGCATATCTCTCTCTCTCTCTCTCTCTCTCTCTCTCTCTCTCTCTCTCTCTCTCTCGACTTTTACCATAGAACTAACCTTTATTTGCTGGCTGGCATTTTTCACGCAATGTGCCAGGTGATCTGGAATGATGATATAATCGGCCACCTGTCTTCCACCATTGCCTCGATGAGCCACACCCCTGCAGCCCCTGTGATGTGTAATGCTGTTGTTAACTGTGCAGGCTGTAACCTGCGTGGTCTTCCTAGCCGCCTTCCTTTGTCCCCAGATGCCCTGTGGCTAAAGCAGCCCAGTGTCTCATCTGAACGTCTCATCCATTGGAGCAGGGATAGCAGCCTGCCCCTTTGTGGCAGCGGGACAGCCAGGGCACACATTGCCTGCCATTCTGCGGTCGCCTGAGAAATCTGAGAAAGCTAAGGGCACTTACGAACTCTTACAAACTCAAATTCCTTAAAGTAACTTTCTTTAATTATAAAACTCTGTTCAGAAAATAGTTCCCATAATACATGTCAGTTTCTTTTGTACACGCATTTACTCGGGCATATATACATACTCATATTCGTATGCGGTTTTGTGGCGGAAGCAAACACAATAAACAATTAAAGGATTTTACTGGCACACTTGAATTTTATAAGGGAATTGGATAAACATATAACAGACGATAGTTGGATTCCCTGTGACCCCCATGAGCATTTTGTTACTGTGCAACTGCCATCAGTGGGCCCCAAAGAAAGGTGATACATGAGAAGCCTGTGAACTAGGGTGGCTTCCCTGGCCCTCATCCTCCGGGACTGGCTGCACAATGGGGAGGTGGTTTCACACAGGAGAGAGAACTGAACAGAGGCCCAGGCCTCAGGTGGCGCTTTTGCCAGGAACGGATAGACACATGCATCCTACCCAGTGTCATTGTACTATCTGCCTCAGATCCCATTTACTTCTCGTGGCTCTTTTTCTCCTGTAAAATGTACAGTTTCTCTAAGCGGACATTTTGGCTATGGGTTGCTGCTCTATCCTCAGCCCCGGGTTTGTGTCTGAGACAGCGGCTTGTGATATACAGGGTGTCCAAAAAATGTATACACACTCTGAATAATCATAAAGGCAGTGTTTATTAAAATATATTGCATTTCAAAATGTACTAGAAATCAGCTGTTAAAGTGTGTGTACATTTTTCTAGGACACCCTGTATATTTGGCTGGCTGACTGACTGAATGAATGAATGAATGAGTGGATTGGTCTGTGGGTGTGAAGACAGAAAAAGGGAAAATAGGCAACCAGGGCCCCAAGCTAGAAGTGATATGAGAGGAGGCATGACTGGATCGCAGAGACTTCAGCCCAGCCGTGCTCATTGGAACTGCCTGGAACCCGTGGACCCCTGACCCGGCAGGTAGTGGATGGAAGGTGCGTCAACCCGTCTGTACTACTTGCCTCCCTCACATACCAACAAGCTGCCTTAATAACTGAACTTTTTTTAAAGTAACATTTTATCTACCATAAAAATTTATAATTTCTAAAAAATCCACAAAGAACAAAAAGACAGTCTGGTAAATCCAAGATTTATAAAAACCACGCACAAAACCCATGGTATTTAGATAAATAGATAATGTTTATATAAGTAGCACTTTTGAAATGTAGCTTTTTCCTACTATCTATTACACATTCACATACACACACTAATTGAAAATATGCCAACACCAATGTCTGCAAAAGCAGTTCAGCATTTTCTAAATGGCTTTCTCTCTCATTTATTGCAGCTGTTAATACTGCACAAGTACAGTGAAGCGATTTTTAATTACTTTTAAACAAAGATAAAGGGATTTTTCTCCCTCAAAACATGTTTCAATCATGGAAACAACTGAGCTTCTTATAGACATTGAGGTTCTATCATGCCATCAGTGCTTAGAGGTAGAGGTCTGAGAAATTTGGAAAACGCCAGTCACTGCGATAACAGGGGATATAGTCACTGAGAACCTAGCTTTGCTGTTAAACATTAGTTTGAATCTGGTTTCTACTCTGCAGTAGGTGTGTGATTTTAGACAACTTTACCACTCTAACTTCATTTCACTCATCTCTGAGTTGGGTACAATACTACTCTTCAGAATAGGTAGTGGGTTGAAAAAGACAATGCATGTAAACCGCCTAGCCTCTGGCCTGGGACTTTGTACTAAGTGCTCAATGAAAATGAGTCTTCCATTCTCCACCTCACCTATCATTCTTAGCAGCTCATGTTGATAGATAGTATCAAAGAGAAGCTGGTCTTTGTTCTGAGAGTATGTGTACTTAGTACTCTTTGTAGAATCTAAAAAACGTTATGAGCAGAACACTCTATTTCGGGGAATATAGTATTGCTATCAATAAGATATCGAGCACTTAACAGGAATGAACCATTTCACCTGGGTTTCTCCAGGTTACTTTGCAGACAAGATCACAAAAACCTTTTGATCCTTACAAGTGGCTCCTGCAGCCAGAGGCGGATCAGAGTGGCCAGCGTGTAGTACATCACCAGCAGCAGGATGGGGTTGGCGTGGTGGTACCATAACAGGTCTGGGTTTGCCACGATCTTCCACGTGCTGGAACAGTCTGTTTGAATCACTGATTTGATACCAAACAACCTGTCAAAAATAAATAAAAATGTTTTAAAAACATAACAAACTCTGTGTCCCTAATACAATAAAGAAAAATCTCGTTTTTAGTCCATACATGAGCCCTTCCTAGGTTAATCCATCTTATTCTAGGTATTTCATTACTCTTCTGTATATATAACTACATCTTTAAGTAATATATGCATTTATATATGTCCTTAAAGCATATATATGTGTTAGCATGTGTGTGTATGTGTGTGTGTGTGTGTGTATAAATGTTGCCAACATTAGCCAGATCACCTTTACATTAGTTCAAAGATCTAGCTAATACTAAATCCTTGCACACCTATTAGAAATTTAATTGTCAATCAGCCCTATTTTGCCAGAAGCCAGTCCATCCTTGCTGCTGCAGGAAAGAAACATCTGCACAGCATATGTTTCAAGGGACCTGGCGTATATAGCATACTGTTCTTAATATGTTTGCTCCCCTTGGCGCTGTGTGTTTTAACCAAGGTCACCTCTCTGAGAAAGGTTGTTTCCCCAAGCAGGGGTTTTTCCCTGAAGTTAGGGAGGGGATAAAACCCCTTAACTAAGTGCCAGGTGGGTAGTTAATCACTTTAACTACAAACAATCACCCTTAAGCTACATAATCTTTACTCCCTGGAATGGAGATAAGAAACGCCCTAACATTTGTAATAGAAATAGACAGGATTAAAATCAACTGGTATAAATACAGATATAACAAGACAATAAACACCAGAACTTGGCTGGAGATCCTAGACAGAACCTGGCTAGAGAACCTGGCTATGATGATCATCTGAATGCTGTCTTCATGTCATTGCTTCTTTGCCGACTCCGTCCACACCTTTGGGAACCCCTGGACCTGCTGGGGATGGACCCCAACACTATTTAAACATGCTTTATTGAAATGTTAGGTCAGTAATAACATGTTACTAAATCCAGGTCAATGAGCATATATTTTGTATTTGGTATGATTTAGTATTAGCTATTCAGTTAGTGTTGATATTATTGGGCAAATGTTAAAACTGGAAACTATTCTACAATTCAGTCATAAAAGCCAGATATTATATACCATAGTTTCTGTTAGATATATTTCCACCTAACTTTATTTATGGGCAATTAGATTTTTTTACTTTGAAACATACTTTTATGATGTGTTTTAAATTCTGAAATTTTTTACGTTCCTTCTACTAATAATCAGAATGTATCTACTTATATAACGGGAAAATATGTAAAATACAATTTATTTAGAAATTCACTGTATATGAATTTTTAAAGGATTCTATTAAATGAATAAAACTTTTACAATGTAAGTGAGCCTCCTATCTTTCTATCATTCCTATTTCTTACATGGGAAATTCCTTTGATTTATGTTACATTCTTCATTCAGTTAGATCTTCCAAGACTATAGTGAATGCCCCTCACTCGTAAACCTTTAAGTTTATTATTGTTTCCTATCACAAAACAAGTAGAGTACTGGTGAACTTCTGAACACAAATTTTAAGATAAACTACATAGAATTTAAACCTGTCCACTTCATAGCCCTGGAGAGGTAGAGGGATGAGGGAGGCATTTTCTGTAGAACTGGCCTGCTGGCAGCTAGTGGCAGACTTGTCTCCGGGAGAAATTTCAGCCCAGAATGGGCAGCTGTGGCTCTGCTTGTCCGGGATGTGGCGACACTCAAGGCGTACAGTGGCATGGGGATGCGGCAGGAATCACGGCACTGGCGCCTGGTGAATAGCTGAGGGCTCAGGGGACACTAGTCCAGGGAGACAGGCCCCCTTAGGGCTTAAGGGGCCGCACAAGGATGAAGCAGAGTCCTGGGGCTCTGAGATCCCTTTCGTGCGCTTCTTCCCCTTGGAACTTCAAACCACTGTGGCATCTGCAGCATCTCCCCTCTCCAGCCGGAGTCACCTTGGGACCCATTAAGGTACCACTACCTGGCCCTACCTCGGACTATCTGAGATCTCTCTGGGTAAAGCTGAAGGTGGTAGAACATTTACAAAGCTTCCCTGAGGGTTACGTGCAATGAGAGCTGAGAATGACCTCTCTGACACTGTGTTTACCACCCAGGTCAGTAACTCTGTAGTACACATGGTGTGCAAACGGAGCAGTTTGTAAAAAGACATCACCTCAGAGCGGCTGCAGGAGCCAGGCTGACTGTTTAGCTCTCTACCTTCCCTTTGCTTACCAGCGGTTCTCAACCTCTGTGTCGCCAACCTGTGGGTCACGACCCCTTTGGGGGTCGAACGACCCTTTCACAGGGGTCGCCTAAGACCATCGGAAAACACATATATGGTTACATATTGTTTTTGTGATGAATCACTATGCTTGAATTATGTTCAATTTGTAACAATGAAAATACATCCTGCCTATCAGATATTTACATGACGATTCATAACAGTAGCACAATTACAGTTACGAAGTAGCAACGAAAATAATTTTATGGTTGGGGGTCACCACAACATGAGGAACTGTATGGAAGGGTCGCGGCATCAGGAAGGTTGAGAACCACTGGCTTAGACGAAGCTCATCAAGCTTCTTGGGTCTCCAGAGAGACCCTTCCTCCTTTCCCTCTGCTTCAGGTCAGTTATACTTTCTTGCCTCAGTTTGGAACCTCAAGACTCTGCTTACAATCACATTTATGCAAATCCTTTGTTTGGAGAACGTATTAGTTTACTCTTTTCCTAAACACAAAGTTCCCCTGGTAAATACATCTTTTGAGCTAGTTACCATTCCTCTCCAACCCTCATTTTCACTGCTTTTCTACAGAGCTCATACCTTTCTGTGAGGTAGGAAAGCCGGATATGGGGTGATTCACAGCTTGGGCTTGAGAGTGAAATTTGAGTTCAAACTCTGGCTTTGCCACTCCTGTCATGTGTCTTGGGGTAAATAACTTATCTATACCTCAGTTCTCTTATCTTTAAAATGGGGATAATAGAACCTACCTTATAAAGTTGTTGAAAGCATTCAATGAATTAGAACTTGGCACTGGTAAGTATTCAATAAACCTTAACTATGATAATGATGAACCCAGTCCTACAATATAAAGTAGGTGCCTCATTTTCCTTTCCTACTTCCTCGCAGGGTCCCGGAGCCTTCTTGGGAGAACACAGCAAACAGTGACTGAGTCCTATCCAATGCCGGACACTCTACATCAGGGGTCCTCAAACTACGGCCCGCGGGCCACATGCAAATACAAATATTGTATTTGTTCCCGTTTTGTTTTTTTATTGCAAAATAAGATATGTGCAGTGTGCATAGGAATTTGTTCATAGTTTTTTTAAAACTATAGTCCAGCCCTCCAGTGGTCTGAGGGACAGTGAACTGGGCCCCTGTTTAAAAAGTTTGAGGACCCCTGCTCTACATCCACAGCTTGCTTTAGCACCTCACTGACTCCATGAGGTAAATATTATTCAACCACCCACAAGATGAGGAGGCCAGAACTCCAGTCTCACAATGAGGGAGCCAGGCAATTGGGGCCCATGTCTGTTTGAATTCCAGAGTCCTGCCCCTCATGAAGCGAAGCTGCCAATTAAAGGCAAAGTGCCTAGAACAGGCGCAGAGAAGGGCTTTCCTTCTTGCTTGAGCAAGAAGCACCCAGTTCCCTTTGCTCACACCCTCCTCTGTCTCTTTTTCTTTTACAAGCGCATTATTATAGACGCTCCTGGGATGAAGGTCGCACAAATGACCTCAATCTCTTTGGTAAGGAGGTGGAAGACACAGGATGAAAAATAGATGTTCCAAATTTAGAATATTGAGCAAGAAGCCACTGAAAAGTGTTTATTGTCAAATATAAAACAGAACTTTCTATAAAGACAGAGAAACTTTACAGAAATCTGTTCTATATTTTCCCCAACATTCTTTACATCACCAATTCATTAAAAATGTACATTCATTATGTTATACTGGAAATATGTCTATGAAAACACTACACAATAAAACTCCTAACCAAGTTCATACATTTCTAGTAATTCTCACTAAATCCTAATTCTGACAAGCAGTATCTTAGCAAAGGTTTGATGACAAAGATTCAACAGCAATTTTCATATTAATTTCCTTTATGGAAAGACATTCACTTACTCTGATAGTATAATGAATACCATTGTCAGAAACTGATATAAACAAGTAAAAATAAGCCAATGTCACTTATGATTCAATTTCCTTCCTATTTGAACATAAAAGAAAACTTCTGTTTTTGTAAACACTTTGTAAGATTCCCTCAGTTACTGGTTTACAATAACAAATTCCCATAAAATGGAATAAAATAATTCTCTGAAATCACTTCCCTCATTATACTAACTCCCCCTGACTGATTATTACTGAAATTTATAATGCTAAATCTCAATAATGAGTAATAAAGTTGCTACCATATCAGCAGCCAATCTGAAGCTGATTGACTTTTTTTTTGAGGGGGGTGGATGGAAGATCTACTTCAAATCTTGAATATTTTTGAGCAGGTTAGCAATCACTGACCTCTAATCCTCCACTCACATCTCCACTCAATAACCTACCCCCTTTCTGGCCCAGATAAAAGATGCTCAAGGTCATATGTTAGATTGAAGAAAAGAGCTAGATTTAGATAAAAGGATTATTGAAAACAGCCATCAATCTGTGGTAATTCCACTACTTGGATGCTAATGGCTAGACTGAGGTAACAAGGTCTATAATATAATCTATATAAAGCAATATCACAGAATGTGGCATGTACTAGCTGCTCAAGAAATTATGGCTACTGCTATTATTATTGTTATTACTATTAAGCATAATATGAACTTGGTTTATGCCAGGGTCATAGTTCTATTTATAATATATTGATTTTGCTGGAAAATAAAAATAGATAAATGTCCTCTTTAAGATGGAACAGAACCACAGTCACCCTCAAGAAAAAAGCTGGGTGATAATATTTGAAAGAGTTTGGGTGAGGTGGTAGGGAGGCTGTGTCAAATGAATAACATTTAATTATTAATATTATTATTAATTATTAGGTTATTTACCAAGAAAAATCT